ATAAAGTTTAAGGATGGTTCAGGTGCTTTCTGAAGTTAAAGGACGACCTAAGTTCCAAAAAGAAAGTTTAGGGACCAAATTGGGTATTAAACCTTTTTCTTATAAATTATTAAGAATTTGTAAATTAATTCCAACCTAAAACAAAATAAAATCTAATTTCGTTTGTGCCAAATACAACAAAACTTTCACAGAAAATAGGAAAAAAATTTTGAGAAAAAATAGCAAAGACGCCGTTCAGTCTTTGCCAAATACAATTCAAGTACAAATCCCAACCGTTCAGTCTTCCATTGCTCAGAGCCCTCCTCTATCTTCAAACTGAAAGCGGTTTTCAGAGCAGGTTCCAGATCGCCGTCATTTTCGGTGAGTACCCATCCCATCCCCAGTTCTCAGAATAATTTGCTTCCGAGTTTTCTTTTTTCTCTAATTCATTATGTTTTAGGTTCTTTTAGTTCCAGTCTTTGTTTTTAGGGCTCAATTTTGATTTTTTTTTTTGAATTTCTGATCTGTAAAGTTCATGACTTTCTTCATAATTTCTTCAATCAATCTACTCTGGAAAGGGAGCTTCTTTTAGGGGAAAAAGAAAAAAGAAGTTATATTCTTAGGTTTCATGAAGAAGCTGCCAAATTTCGTTGTCAATTGGATATTTTCGGGCAATTTTCCAGTCTATATAAGTTTTTATTTATTTATGTTCTTGAGTTTAACCTACTCATATCCAAATGAAAAACAGATTTGGCGACATGAAGCGGAGTAGGAGGAAGAATGTTGGTGGTGTGGATCGGATCTCCGACTTGCCAGAATCCATCATACATCAGATTATGTCTTTCCTTCCTGCAAAATTTACTATCTATCTTCGCCCTCCTCTAGTTGGTCTCCATTCTCCGGCGGCCCCAAAAATGGAAAATCAGGAGTGAAATCCAGCAGATCCATGCGGTTCTGTGAGATTGTGGCTCGAAATTGTGTTGCATGTCCCTTCAGATCTTCATTCTACCCTATGAATGAAGATAAACAAAACATTTTAGCTTCAATTATTCAATTTTTTGGGAGTACTAATCACTTGTTGAACCTACCACAGCTCCAAGCAGCCTCATTGCAAGATTCTGGAACTTTCATAGAAATGTTGGTGAGGATGGCAAAGGATTATCGACTGGATTTATTTAGAGGCCCTTACAGAGTGTTTGGTTTTGTCATTAACTGTCTCACTGAAGTTCAGGAGCATATTAATATGCAGATAGAGCCTGCATCGTAATCTGCTTCAGTCCTGCATAAATGCTCTATATGAGAATTATCCAACCGCCCTGCTCGCCAACCCTTTGCCATCCTCACCAACATTTCTACGAAAGTTCGAGAATCTGCTGCTTGGAGCTGTGGTGGGTTCAACAAGTGATTAGTAATCCCAAAAAATTGAATAATTGAAGCTAAAATGTTTTGTTTATCTTCATTCATAAGTTAGAATGAAGATCTGAAGGGACATGCAACACAATCTCGAGCCACAATCTCACAGAAGCCGCATGGATCTGCTGGATTTCCTTCCTGATTTTCCATCTTAAGTTTCGTTTTATTTTGTCTTTTCTACATTTCTTTGGATATTTGTTGCATTTTTGTTTCTTCCTTTTGAAGAATACTGGGTGTAAAATGATCTTTTGGAGGAAAGGATTAGAGTTGCCTTTGATCAATTATAGAGTTTTGGTATTTGAGACTTCCATCTTGATATTTAAGTAGCTCTTGAATTAATTTGCATTCAAGAGTGTGAAGAATGTGCATTTTTTTAGGGACAGAAAAATAGACAATAGTAGATCATTTAATTTGTTATGCATCAAGGGTAGAGAATGATGTGACTTTAAGGCCAAATTGATTATAGGAATATCAAACTAACAATTCCAAGAAAGCCTTCAAAAGAAGAAGAAGAAGAAAGAAGAAGAAACCATGTCATGTTGACTTCATTCAAGCTTCTTTTATAAAAATTATATCTCATCCCACGTAATCGCATGAGAGAGGTGGGATAGCTTTTATCTTATAAGGTTTTGACAGTAAGATACATTTTATTCAATCCCATGGCACTACCAAACGCAGATTACACTAAGATGGGACTAATTTTTATCCCATTCCATGACTTGTCAGGTCTCCCAAACGTGCTGTCTGGGTAAAGAACCATGGCAACGAAGTGAGGAGCACCTCACAGACGAAGCCGGTGTCTGTGACGATTCCTTTACAGGTCACCGACAAGAAGATTGGCCGCATGAGTATCATAGAAATTGCAACATCGAATCTGAAAAACTTTATCTACATGGGTGCTCAAAAAAAAAGAAAGCGCCTGCAGGATTAAGGTTGCAGAATGTTGTTGCAATTTGGAAGCCTTGGTGTTGTGTGGCTATTTTGCCACAGAGAGGACCTTTTATAATCTAATCTCCAAATTTCCTTTGCTTGAGAATCTCTGGATGGTTGAATGTGACAAGTTAGGAAGACTGGAGCCTCTGAATCCTCAACTTAAGAGGCTCCCTATTGCTAAATACCGTAACTTGAAAGGTGTGAAGGTTGATAGTCCAAATTTGATTGAGTTTTGTTATATAGGTCTTGATGCACAGAAGATTGCATTTCCTGATTTTGTGAAGGCATCCGGTGGTTTGAGGTTTGAGTGTGAACCCAGGACATACTTGTCTTCTAAATTGGGTGAGTTGCTTGGACTTAAATCGGAAGATCTAGCTTGGATTTAAATCTGAAGATCTTACTAGTTGGGTTCCTGGTTGGAGGAGATATTAGAGTATTGTAATCAACATTTGGTTGTCATTATTAAAAACCCTGAAATAAAATGTGGCATTTTGGTGGATTTCCTTTCTCATACTTATGGCATATTTATTCAGATTCATTTCTAAATTGTCTACTGGTATTATTGCTTTCTCAGTTTGATACTATTTGTTTTTAGGGTTGTGGAATGTCATCTTGTTTCTTTCTAGCAATCTTAAAAAGCTGGACTTCTGCCTACGAAAAGGCTTCATGCAAAGGGGAAGCTTTTAGAATGTCAGCATCCATGAATGACAGAATTTCTTTTTCTGACTGACAAAGATGTTTCCCTGGCTTCTTCTTAGGTTCAGTTTGATTCATGGTTTGAACATAGATCGATTGTTATACAAGAATGCTCTAATCATAGAGGAGATTTGCTCCTATCTTGATGAAAGCTGAAAAACCAGTGGTTCACAGTGTTCTGTGTAGGGTTTTTAGGGATGTAGGGTTGAAATTGAGGTAACAAAATCTCTTGTTGCAGGTTTTTGGTATAAATCCCTGCACAAGGTTATCAAATGAATTGACCTTAAATATAAGAACCTGACTTTTCTTATAATTGTGGAAGGTTGAGCGGCTTGAGCCATTGTGAGAGACCTTTCGTTCCCCTCCAACTCCTTGAATCCATACTCACCCTTACATGCCTCTCCGGACAAGCCCCTCCACAAATACAAAAACAAATCAGATTCCAACCCTACATCCTTCTCTTCTATAGTCTTTCCCATCCTCACAAAAAGCGGCTTCGGGAGCAGGTTTCAATCACCGTCACTTTCGCTGGTACCATTGCTTCACATTAATTTGTTCCGACTGTTCTGCTCGACTAAGTCTCTGTTTTTAGTGCTTTTTTTTCAAAAAAAAAAAAAATGATTTGTAAAGTTCATTACTTTAACGATATCCTCTATAATTTCTTTAAATTAATCAAACATACAAAATTATTTACATTACGTCTTGGAAGAACTTGGAAAGGTAGCTTCTTTCTACAAAATTTTTTGGGAATTTTTGAGTCTAGAAATTTTTATTTATTTTTCCTTTGCTAATCCTAGTATCAATTTCAAATGGAAAACAGATTCGGCAACATATATGAAGCGGAGTAGAAGGAAGAAGGTTGGTGGTGCGGATTGGATCTCTGAGGTTGCCTGAATCCATCATTCATCACATTATGTCTCTCCTTCCTTCAAAAGAGGTTGCTCGAACCAGTGTTCTGTCGAAAAAAATGGTACCATTTCAGTGCATCATATCCTGTCTTGGAATTTGAGGAAATAGAATTTGGTAATGGAGAAAATTATGAATATCTTAACAATTTTAGGCAAGTTAATAAGTCTCTGCATCACTTTAGCCACAATAAGTTAGGGTTGGTTGCATTTTGCATTTGTACATTTTCACCTTCACTTTCCTCTGATCTTGTTAGTTAGATAAGGTTAGCCTTAGAAAATGGGGTGAAAAGGTTAAATCTCCGTTTCGAAACCAAAACATTTTGGACAATTGCACCAACAAATTTATCTACTTTTCCCCACCAACTAGTTTCTTCTAAAACATTAACCGATCTAAATTTATCCAGTTGTATTGTGGATCCTTATCTGTATTCACGTCTCTTAGGAAGCTGTCTATGATAGGTTGCTATTTTACAGGTCCTATAATTTTGAACAAAGATGACTGCCCTTTCCTCGAGCATTTAGTTCTCAAAGTCTGTTTGCATTCAAAATCTGCCCATATTTCTAGTCTTCGTCGTCTTCACGCTGCCAATGTCATTGAGAGATGGTGCTTGCGTCTCATGGTATCCAAAGTTTATACCTTTATGCCTTGGACTTTCCTTGGTCGACCATAGTATGCAAACTCCAATTTCTTGGAGTTTTGTTGCACTGATCTCAAGCAACAATCCAGAATTACAGTAGCTGGTAATGTGAAGGCATCCGGTGGTTTGAGGTTTGAGCCTGAACTTAGCAAACATTGGTATTACAGATTGGAGTGCTGGTATATTCTGCTGAGTGCTGATTCTGCTGGACAAAATCTTGTCAACTTACTTTCTATTTTATGAACATCCATATTAGAGATGTCGTCATGAAGAACTCAAAATTGAAAGTAGCATTTTGGTGGATTTCCTTTTTCTTGTTTTTCGTATTTGGATGTACTCTCACACTAATCCATAGCAAAACTTTTCCCGTTCATTTCCAGATTGTTTTTGTTGTTATTGTTTGATATATTAAAACTAGGGTTATTGTAGCAATTATAAACTAAAGTCAGTTTTTTAGACTTAGTTTAAGAACATTGGTCTATAATTATAGACCTAAGTTGTTAGTTTTTAAGTCTTTTAAAATTATAAAAACACATAAAATATATTTAGTATTTATTTAATTAATGTTTTATATATTTTTATGATAATAAAATATATAAAAATCAAAAGTAAAAGCATTATTGTCAAATGAAGTCTCACCCTCTTCATGTAAGAAGACACATGCTTATACATCTCAACCAGGTTTGTTTAAGCCGATACCAAATCCTTGACTTAAAAAAAAAAGAAAAAACCGGTACTAAACCCTGTTTACCAAACGAACAAGTTAATCCATGCCACCGAGCTTTCCTTTTTTTTCGGTAAAAACCACCGAGCTTTCTTAATCAATGAGGTTTGTTTAAACCGGTACCGTCCTACCAATAAAAGAAATGTCTGGGGGCTTTATTGATAATAAATATTGATGACCTTAGGGAACTTTACTGTAGGTCCCATCAGTCTACGTGTAACCCTTTGGTGGGCCACATCATATGTAGTACCGTCCGGCGGCAAAGAATCAGTTTTTGACTTTCAAAATGGCCTCTTTATTGAGACCTCTCTCCTTCCTGTTCAACCCTAGAAAAACAGTGTCATTCAATCTGCGCCCAGCATCAGCAATACCCATGTCTTGGTCCTGCAAGAAATGCACTTTCCTCAACTCTCCATCTCAGAATTCCGCTTGCGAAATCTGCCTCTCTCCTCCTTCTCCACCTTCTTCACCTCTTAAATGGTCGTGCAAAGCCTGCACCTTTTTGAACCCTTTCAAGAACTCGAACTGTGAAGTCTGTTCCACGAAGGCTCCGGCGTCCTTGCTTTCGAGTCCCGAGGATTTGAAGGGTACGAGTCCTGATGGTGAATTGGATTCTTCAGTTGGGTCCGTTCTCTTGACGTTGCAGCCTTGCAGCAAGAGGAAGATGATGGACCCAGTTGTGGGTAGCGAGGATTGTGTTGAATCGGGCAGGTTTCAACGCCTCAAGGGATCCGATAAGGCTGTGGTTGCGAAGGGTTAGTGCCGATTCTTGTAACTTTGATTATGCAAAAATCAAAATTTTGTGCTTTTTACATTCTGTTCTCCGACTTTCAAAGAACTATTAACCATGGATATTCCTTCTCTAAATTACGTTTCTTTTCCCAAATGGGTTTTTTTTTTTTTTTTTAAGTAAAATTGGGTTTAGAACTTTAGATAATGAATGGCATGATTTGTTTAGTAGAGGTTGAAGGGTGATGCCTGAATAATAACCCATAATGGCACTAACAAACCAAAATGATCACCAGAGGGAACTAGTTCAGGGTCGGTTACAAGTAATACTTTGAAGATTTTGAGTTACAATGTTTGGTTTCGAGAAGACCTAGAGGTGCATGGAAGAATGAAAGCTATTGGTGATCTTATTCAACTGCATTCTCCTGATCTCATCTGTTTTCAGGTTTCTTCTTGCCACCATCAATTGCTAGAGCTTTTTATATTTTAAAATTTTCTACTTATATCTTACTTTGTATGACCTCTATTCTTTATAGGAGGTCACCCCAGATATATACAACATATTTTGTCAATCTAGCTGGTGGAAGGTGTATCGTTGCTCTGTCTCAAATGACATGTTGGATTCAAGACCATACTTCTGTATGCAGGTAAGCTTATTACTGATTTTGTCTGATACTGATAGGTTAATTTTTCTTATTTCATGAGTAAATTATCTCATTGGTGTGCTCATTTGATTAGTTTTGAGATAATGTCTAATTATTTAGTTATAGAATCAGTTAATTATAATTTCTTGAATATGTAGTTGAGCAAACTGCCAGTGAAATCTTTCAGTAGTAAGCCATTTAGAAATTCCATCATGGGGAGAGAGCTTTGCATTACTGAGGTTGAAGTTTTTGGTGGAAAACCTCTGGTTATTGCAACTAGCCATCTTGAGAGTCCTTGCCCAGCTCCTCCTACATGGGATCAGATGTTCAGCAAGGAACGTGTAGAACAGGCAAAAGAGGCCATTAACATTCTAAAGAGCAACCCTAATGTGGTTTTTGGGGGTGACATGAACTGGGATGATAAGCTAGATGGTCAGTTTCCTTTACCTGATGGATGGACTGATGCCTGGGCAGAGTTAAGGCCAGAGGAGATTGGATGGACATATGATACCAAGTCCAACCAGATGCTGTCTGGCAATCGCTCTTTACAAAAGCGGCTAGATAGATTCGTGTGCAATCTACATGATTTTAAGGTGACTGGAATTGACATGATTGGAAAGGAGGCAATACCTGGTCTATCATACATCAAGGAGAAGAAAATGAGAAAGGAAGTGAAGAAGTTGGAGCTTCCTGTTTTGCCAAGTGATCATTATGGCGTGCTTTTAACAATCTCTACTCAGTAATGCCTTAAGTCAATTGCTTTCCATCTCCACGTTGATGCATCCTTGTATGCAATTTTGTCTAGATATCAAATGAAAATGATGTAAACGGTTTTCAGTGTTTTGTGAGTGTTTTGCCACACGTTTTGTATGGAGCTTTATTGATGGAAATGATATGATTCCAGACGTTAAATGGCAATTACTGCGAGGCCAAGGATAGGTGTTTTTTCTTCTTTTTTTTTTAATGGATTTCTGAAATTCCTATGACAACACATTGAGAACTACGACTTAATCAGAGTAACCTGACTTCCTTTATTTACAACAAAGCAAAGCATTCTAAAAAGGGACAGCTAACAAGCTTTGAGATGCTTTGCAGCAATCTTGACACTAATAAGCCTGGCTCAGTTCAACAGTGTAGATTTACTGGCTAGGCACTAGGACAGGATATTAGTTCTCGTCAGATTTTGAAATTAAAATCTTAATCAGATATATGTATTACTAAGACTCTTTACATTATTGGAGCTATATATATGTTCTTAGCTTTTTTTTTTCTTTTTTTTTTTTTTTGAGTAAGCAAATTTGTTGATACTTATCTCAAAGTTGGATGAAGTTCTTGGTTTACCAAACAAGAGAATAATGTTGTTTAGGTCGAGTTTCATATGCTGAAATTCAAGCCCCCAGACATGGAAGAGAGAATCATGGGAAGACAAAAGAAAAGAATGTTGATTCATGTGAGTTCCTCTTGAATCATATGGGAAAAAAAGAGAAGGGGTTGGACAAAAAGGAAGGAGAGGACACTGTAACAAATTCGGCGTAAACATCATTATTCAAAAACAAAAAAGACAACTTTTCCAATAGCATTTTACACAAGATTAGGAATCCACTCCCTCCACTACAACTTGCTGTCAATTAAATTAAGTTGTTTCAACCTTTTATCCTTTCCAAAAATGAAAAGTGTCATAAATTTAATATCATCATCAATCATGTTTACTTTCTCTGTGATGGCATTAGACTAGGCTTAGTGCAAATTGCAACCCTAAAACTAGGATTTTGATAACCTTCGCAATTATTGCAGATCCCTCCCCTATAAAGGTGAAACAACAATAGTTACTGATTCCTAATCTTAATCAAATGAATTAAAAATTAAAAATTAAAAATAATAATAAAAGAATAATGTTCATTGATTTATTTTTTAAAGATTAAAAAATATTATCTAAAAATTATAATATTTTAATAAATTATCATTGAACAAATTTTAAATATTATAGATTTTTAAAAAATAAATTAAAATGTTTTTAATAATTTTTTATAATATTTTATTAAAACAAAATTATTTTATTTTATTTTTTCTCGTAATTTTAAAAAAATAGATAAAAACTAACTCTAATAATAATTATTTATCATTGAATATCTAAATAATTAACCTAAACATCTGTTCGTGTATGGCAAATGAAGCATGCTCATTGATCTCATGGACCCAAAATCTGGCATCATTTTCTCGCAAGTTTTTTCAGATTGTGAGATTCCACTTCAAGATGTCTCAATAAAAATGAAAAATTGGAAAGTCTAAATAGAACTAGAGATGTTGATTGGGTAGGGGCCTCCAAAATAACCAAAGCGATCATGTTTGATGGTACATATACGCGTGCTCATAAACAGTGATCAATGCTATGGGTCCTCCCAATCATATGTTTCTTTATTTTTTTTAATAAATAAATAAATTTTCATTCTTATAAATCTTACGTTTACAATTTGTACCATGAATTCATAATCTAAATTAATTGTTACAAGAAATGACATGTGGTGGATGGATACGCCTAAGGAAAGAAATTTGTAAAACTAATGAATTGAAATGAATTATCATTCCTCTTTTTTTTGTTAAGAAGAGAAATGAATTGCACCTGACCCTTGCGGTCTAGTGGCAATAGTCATTTCG